GTTCAATCTCTTTCTCCCCAAGAGAAAAGAAAGAAACTACATTTGAGAACAGATTAAGAAATGAAACAAATGTTAAAAAAAAAAAAAAGAGGTTTGAAGTTGCTTTCTGAAAGAATGACGGCTCCATAAATGAAGTCTCAAACCCGTCCCCTCTTCCTCAGTGCCCCACCACTGTCCCCTCTCTCTCTCACCGGGATTATCAACCGCTCCTCCTCCGGGTCTCCAAGATTCAATCCCTTCAACCCACCCTCCTCCTTGCAGCCAGAGTGCCCCTAATTTCCCTCAGGTGGGGTGGGAAGGGGCCTGCTGGAGGCAGACACACCTATGGCAATAACTCATTTGCACAAGAAGCTGCTCAGTCCACTCCAGGGCCAAAATAAAGAGCTGTTTGACAGGAATGAGAAATTCCTAGCAGAGCACCCATCCAAAAACTGTGACCTAAGAATTCAGCTCACAGAGGGTGAGAGACTGTTAGAAATGGGCTTCTGCTGAGGTCTTAGCAACCACCCACCCAGGAAATCCTGAATCCTTCCCAGTCTCCCAGGAGCAAGTGCTTTCATCAATCAGCCCACAGAGCCTGTCTCAGTATCTTCCCCATCTGGGTGGGATTTTGTCTTTCTGGGATTTTATCTGGTATGTTCCTCTTAAGCTGCCCATGCACCCTCTCCTTTTCCCATAGACTTTCTGTGCTAACCACCTGACTCCCTCCACAGGCTGGACTACCAGAGGATCTGAGCTCACAGTCATTGCCCCCTGCAGCAATGCTGCAAGGGTAGGCTGTGCGTGCTTTTACTTGCTTTCCTTCCTGATTAATACAGTTTCTGGGAGTCAGTGAGAAACAATTCAGATTTAGGCAGCCTCTTGGAATTTCAAATTAATTCTTCAAGGATATTTTTACTGGATGTAGACTCTAGGGTGACAGTTATATTCTGTCAGCACACTGAAGATATCTTCTTGTACTTCTGTAGACAAGTCAGTTCTATGATAGCCCTTCTTAGAAAATAATCTTTTTTCTCTAACTGCTCTAATAATTTGTCTTTAGTTTAATTAAATTTTACTATGATGTGTTTACATTTAATTTTCTCTTTATTAATTCTCCTCAGGATTCACTGGTCTCTTGAATCCACGAATTGGTCTATTCCAGCAGTTTTGGAAAACATCTCAGTCATTATCTCTTCAAATTCTTACTCATTCTCTCTCCTCTCCTTCTATGACTCCAAATAAATATACATTAGGCTTTCTAACCATGCCCTCTATATCTCTTACCTTCTATACTTACCATATTCCTCTCTCTCTCCATGTTTTCTTATAGCTATTTTCTTCCAACCTATCTTCCAGTTCCCTAATTTACTCTTTAGCTATGTCTAATTTGTTAAACCTGTCCACTGAATTTTTAATTTGGTAACCATATTTTTCAATTCCAGAAGCCCTATTTCATCATTTTTCAAATCTCTTATGAAAAATCTTAGTTTCCTGTTCCCCTGAAGACATTTTCAAGATTCTCTTTTTCATATTTCTTCATACATAGTAAGGATAATAGTTTTGTGGCATGTGCCAAAGAATTACAAAAGCTCAACATTCTGTGGGCCAGTTTCTCTTATCTGTCATTTCTGTTTGTTCTCACCCAAGAAGTGTTGAATGTGCGCAGGTCATTTTATTGGAAAATACATACATATTTGTAGGAACAATTTGAGTTCTGTATCTTCCTCCAGAAAAGACTTTGTTTTGCTTCTCCCCAGCACTTTGAGTACACAAGTGCCATACTGAGGTTCACACACTGCTGGACCTCCAAGGTGAAATAAACCTAGATTGCCAGACTGGATGAGGGCTATTTCACTACAGCTTTATCTGATGATCACTCCTCTGGGTCTCAGAAAGTACATGGGCACTTCTCAGACTCCCTATTTTGGGTAAGCTAACGTTTGACCCATTCCCTCCAGAGGTTGTCAAAACTACAACTTACTTTGAGATTAATTCTCCTGGCTGAGCAAATGCCCTCAGAACAACAGTGGCTTTTGGTACAGGGCTCATCTCTCTGGGTTCTAGCATCCTCCTAGAATCTGGCTCAGGAAGTTTTATTTTCTTGTTAGCAGTTCAGCGTGTTTAAGAAATTTGTTTTCTTTTTTCTTTCTTTCTCTTTCTTCCCTGTGGTTTTCTCTTTCTTTCATACTTTTATTCCTTTTTTTTCTTTTTGCTTGTTTACTGGCTTTAAAAAAATATTATCCAGGGTTTCTTAGGTGTCTTCAGTGGGAACGTGGGTGGAATTATCTAGCCCACCACCACCAGAAGTAGAAGTTTCTCCTCTCTCACCTTTTCCTTTAATTCCAAATTAAGTGGCTCAAGTCTCCATCTCTCATTCTATGGGAAGTTCTATAATTTCTGCCCCACAGATTAGAGGGGATTCCCCTGGGGTTTCTCATTAGCCAGCTTAGCTACCTCTCAAGATGGGTCAATACCCCTACCCCGCATACACTCTCTCCGCTGCTGTTCATCCTCCTTTCCACTTGGCCTCCATGACAGACACAACCCTCTTTCTTCTTTCACGGACCTTCTTGTCCACAGAACAGACTTTTACCTTTTAAAGGTTCAGGGGTAACAGAGAGGGTGTATGGCACTACTCAAAATAGCAAACTACTTAAAAGTGCTCTTTAGAAATCCTTTAGCCATTCCTCCCCACTAGAAAATAAGACAGAGATGCTCTCCCACTTTCGATCTACCCCCCACCCCTCACTGTGCTTCCAGTGACCCCCAAGGCCTTGGCTTCCTGCACCTCTCGATTCTTTTCTGACTTCCGGGCACACATCCTTACAACACTACTGCTGAATCTCCAAAATTCCTTTAACTTTACTTTGCAGAGCAATTTAGCTCTTTCCTAAATTATTCCCGTCTGGGCCATGCCCACAAAACCTCACCTTTCTTAACAAGTTCATGAAGGAGCATTCCTTCCCCAAACTGCCAAAAAGTTCTGAAATAAATGCTGTCCCTCCCCTAAAACGCAGAAATGAGGCAGTGGTTTTTTTAAAAAGCAATTTTTTCTCCCTGGTATAAGCTGCCCTTAATAAAATCTTTACAGTCCCTGCAAAAGTTCCAAGCCCACAAATTCTTCCTCCAAGAGGTGAGTGATGAAATGGGGGAGGGGGAGCTTCATGGGCTGAAGCCTGTAGACACTCCTCCCTAGGAGATGCTGAGGGGTGATGGGCCCCCAGCCAGAGAGCCCAAACCCCATCAATTCCGTATACCTCCTGCTTGAAAAGCCTAGGTATTCTTATTTTTGGGCAATCACAAAAATTCTGTAAGGTTTCATTAGAAGAACAGTTACAAACAGGTTACACAGTTTAACCTATTATGAAAAAGAATCTTCTCTGTTGTGAAGAACTGATCATTTAAACGAAAAACTGCAGGATGAGAATGCCCTCCTCCAAAGCTGCACTGAAAATAAAAATGTGATTTACTAAAAAGTACAGATTTGGTTGGGGTCCCTCTGGTTGTTACTGCGGCTCTTTTAAACAGGCATCCAGCAAATCTGCAAAGTGCTTCTTTCTAAACCACAGCACCAGAGAAAATCAATTCAAGGATTTCCCGAACGGCAGCACTGGAAAAAATAAGCACTAACCACAACTTTCTAACCTCCACGAAAACATAAAATATGCCTTCTGAAGGACACAAGAGGAAAAGAAGAACCTACTGAAAAAGTGAAACTCACATCTACTACAAATCATATTTCAAAGAACTAAATGAGGCTGGGGAACAGCTGTGAAAATGCTGGTGGGGAAAAACTCCAACAATATCAAAACAAGCCCTCACTGTGAAGTTAACAAGAAATGTGCACAAGTGCAGTTACATAAGCAAAACACAGGATGTGAATAAACAGGTTGAAAAGCAGCTAAATACACTGAATCAAATAAAGTATTATTGGAAGAACTGGGTAAAACTTCATAATATGGAAATTAGGTATTAACCATTAGATACATAGTTGAAAATCAGACTCAATCAAGGAACAAAATGGAGTTTCTAATTTGTATGACTCCATCTTATAATGTCATTCAATAGTTTCCCAAACCAAGTGCCCTTCTTGTGAAGATTACTACTGTCAGAGTTCTCCACTGCCAAAGGTTCAGCAGGGGAAACAAGGAAGAGTGACAAGCACATCCCCAAAAGGCAATGCTGGGACACGCACTGCCATGTCTACATTTCAAGCAGAGTACAATGCCTCTGTACACTCGGTGACATCACCTGCCAAGCTCCCCTGGGGCCTCTGTGACAGGGCATGTCTCTTCTCCAAACCTCATCACTGACCGGCTGGTGTCACAAATCCACGCCTTGGTTCTGCTTGGTGTCACTTTGTTAATGCTCTGTTCGTTAATTTAACAAACTATCAGGAGAATATGCTTGGAACGGGCAAGCATTATCTCTCAACTTTCATTTAATTAAACTCTGCTATTGCAATATGACAGTCAGCACATCATAGGGGGAATTATTTTAATGATGAAGGTAAAAAGTATTTCAAAGCCCCCACTTAAACATGAAAGCATAATCTAAAATTGCCCAAGCACACACTATAATTTTTCCATAATATTAAAGATGTTATTTCCAGACGTGGTAATTAATTGGATTCCATGGAGAAATTATCCCAGCATCCTTGATAGCAAAATGATGCACAAGGCAGGGAAGAGAGTGCCAAAGGACAGCCCTAAACAACCATGTTATCACCCAGATTATGACAATCACCGGGCACAGTAAGGAGTGAGAGCGCTCGCTTCTGGTCCTCACTCATTACTTTCCGCAAAGCAACTGCACTGAATTCTGATTATATCACCTTCAGGAAAGGATTGGGAGCGGCTCTTGCTCCACTAGCACAGCACTGCCCTGTGTACGCCAGGGGCCATGGGCTGGACGAGGATGGCATCCTGTCCAGCTGAAGGATGGAGGCAAGTCCCCAAGCCTTCTACCACTTTCTCTCCCCACCCCTCAGGGAGAGGGGTGCTCAGAAGCTGGCTTACCGTCAATCCGGCTCACCAGCTCTTCCAACATTTTCACTTTCATCTGAATCCCAGGTTGGGCAAAGGTGTAGTTGTCCTAAGGAAAAAATAACAACAAATATCATATGCATAGAAAATAAAACACATTTTCCAAAGAGGAAAAAGGCAGTTGGGCAAAGGGGAACATTGTATAATAGAACAAATTCACAAACTGAGATATGCACGCCACGTGAGGCTGCCTTATACCGCCAGCGTGCAGTACGATTGAGTCTTACTTTGAGAAGGCAAAGTCCAACATTTCCCGATATGGGAGGATGAGCACACCCATCTCGGGAAATACTTAATGGAGCATTTCTATATGTAAATGTAAGATATTTACATTTAAATTGAACAAGTGGGCAAAGCAGCTGCCTGGCCGGCACACAGGGGTAGTGAGCACTCAGCACTGCCAGGGGAGCTGATGCGAAATGGCGACCAAGCCCAGTGCAGACCATGCCGACATCATGCCAACCATGCTGACAATACGAGGGCCAACAGCACGGTCACTGCAAGAGGAAACAGGGAACGTGTGACGTTCCTCTCAGAGAACTCAGGTGAAGAAGTTCAAAACTAAGATAAGAAAAGCAGCGTAGGCATTGGGGGAAAAGTCTTAAGTCAGACAGACCTGCAGTGGGAGCCGAGCCCTATTACTCAGCAGTGGTGTGACCTTGCAAGTTACATGACCTCTCTGGGCTTCACTGTCATCATCTATAACACGAGAACCATAATGCTGCCTTCCAGGACTGCTCTGAGGATTCAAGGAAACCACAGCAGTGGAGGATGGAAGAGGGTTCAAGACGTGGCAGGTACTCAGGAACCATAGGCCCTGCTGGCCACTGTCACCAGCTGAGAGCGCAGAGACGAGCCAGAGAGGAAAGCTGGCCCCGCTTTGTCCGCCCTGGGGCTTCCCCATGGAGCTACCCTGAGCAGCTGCAGCCGGCACTCAGGGATCCCTGTCAGCATGAGGGCTTGAGCTGGACTCATGCAGTGACAGCCTTACACTTGCTGATGAACACGGAAGGCAGAATAACACGCCTCATAGAGGCCCACGGCCTTATTCCTGGAACCCGGCAAAGGCAATTAAGAGAGCTGATCCACTGACTAAGACAGGGAGACTATCCTGGGCTATCCAGAGGTGCAGCGTAATGACAGGGTCCTTCAAAGTGGAAGCGGGGGGGAGAGCCAGGGTCGGAGTGCTGTGGCATGAGAGAGCCTCCACCTGCCAGCGCTGGCTTCAAGGGTGAAAGAAGGGGCCACGAGTCAAGAGACACAGGCTGGGAAAAGGCAAGGGAGCAAACCCTCCCCGGAGCCTCCAGAACGGACGTGGCCCTGCCCATACCTCAACTGGCCGCAGAGACGCACAACAGACTCCTGACCTCCAGAGCCAGGTGACAACGAATCTGTGTTGCTTTAAGCCACTGTCTGTGGTGATCTGATACAGCAGCGAGGGGAAGAGAATAGAGCACCCCGAAATGTGCCACTTTGGCATGTGGATTATTTCGAGCTGAAGACAATCAAGGCCCAAGAGGCTCAGGAAGAGCTGTTTCCCTTACCCTGAACTGCTTACAAGAGTTGAGAGAGAGGCCCTGAACCCAAGACAACTTCCTATATGAGAAAGAGCTCTCTGCGGGCAGGGCGACATCTGCTCTCCTCCTGTGCGGTCTTCTCCCCTTGCAGCCCAGAGCCCGCCCCCTCCCCCCAGCTCAGATGGCATCCAAGCCTCAAGGGCCTGACTGTCTCAGGGTCTCATGTCTTTGGGGTTCCCATACGTATAAAATTTGTTTTTCTCCTGCTAATCTGTCTACGTCAATTTAACTATTAGACCAGCCAAAGAACTTAGAAAGGAAGATGCGAAAAGTTTTCCACCCCTACAGCAGCAGTAGGAAACTAATGCAAGAGGCTTGGGGATGTCCTTTATCAGGGTCCCTGAGAATCCACTGAGACATAAAGAGACCAGAAGAGGAATCTGGAGCAGCCAAGCTTGTGGTCCTGTGCCTGTGGATCCTGGACTCTACTGAGCACTTGGGCCTCGGGCCCTGGTGCCTCCTGGGGGCTCGTGATGGGAGAGGACAGCCTGTCCTCTGGGAGTGACCCCGGGGGGCCACACAGCCTTGGTGAGGGGAGCGAGGCCCCTGCCTCAGTGAGGTGTGGGCCAAGGCATGGGGCCCAGGCAGCTGTAGCCCCCGGACGGCTCAGGCCTGGCAAGGCAAGTGTGCAGTCCCATGGGCAGAGCCTTCCTGGCCTTGGAGACAGTGGGGGGACACTCCTGATGCTGTCACACTGAGGGCGGAAGATGTCTGCAGGCACCTCGGACATGAGGGGTGCTGGATTCACATGACTGGGGCAGGTGGCCCCAGTTCTCACCCTGCATTCGGAGTCCAGGAGGGAAGCGGAGGGGCAGATCTGGATTTGCTGTCAGAAATGTTTAGAGAACGACCTTCCTGGAGTTCCCTGTGCTCCGAGGGGACGACCCACAAACCCTGGAGAATCCAAACCTGGAGAGGGACGAAGGAGCCTTGGGAGGCCCTGGGCACATGGCCACAGCACTCACAGGGCCTCATGCTCCAGAATCCATGAGGGGGATTTTCCAGATGAAGCCAACGTGGGCTGAGAGGACAACCTTCAAGCCAGCCGCAGTTTCCACGGCTGAGGAGCCCTAGAAGAGGACTTGACTGTCTCTGGCACAGTCAGCACTCTCTCTGCGTTTAACATGTGAGCACACACGTGAGTGCATATACACAGCATTCCCTAACTAGAGCGGGAGTGGCAGGTACTGTGGCACAGAACTAAAAATGTCTACAAGGCATCAAGGATTTTTCTTCCCCCAGAAATGGAGAATGAACACAGTCAGACTTAACGTCTTACAGGGAGATTTCCCCCAAGCGGATTTTGAGCGACAGGCTCTGGATTCCACACTGTCACACCTCTGCGAGGGCAAAACCAAGAAGTGCTCTGTGCCCCCGGCTTCACTCAGAGCCATGTCAAGGTCCCTCCGTGATTTGCAGAGGCACGAAGGACACGTTCTCCAGGGGACGACTGCCACAGGGGCCTGGGCGTGATGTGTCTTCTAGATCTGGTGACAACTTGTGGGTCCTGCTAAACTTTGAACTCGTGAGAAGTGAAGGCTGTCAGAGCCTCGAGTTTAATGGACAGGACGCTGGACCCTGCAGGAACCGTGCGCATCCCAGTGGGATCCCGGGCGCCCCTCCAGCTGAGAGAGGGCAGTGGCACAGGTTAAGGACAAAGTGTGAGCTTTAATGTATTCAAACTTTAACAGCAAAGAGAAATCTTGGTTTTGGACTTAAACTACTAAGAGTTAGCCTTTAAGACAAGTTCTCCCTGGAAATTGGAGAACCAAAGGAGATTTATATTCAAATTTGGTGCATACTGTGTTGTTGGAAGTTTACACGCTGTGTAACCTCATGGCAGAATTTCTGATGAGCCAGGTTGAACAAGATAGCTGGATATAATTAAGGATGAGAAACAAACTAGAGAGTGATTTTGCAACCTTAGGTAGAGGCCTTGCAGATAATTTAATCAATGTTCGATTCACAGCCACTGGGAGCACATTGTCACACCTTCCCCCAGTGGTCCCAGGAGAATACTCACAGGAGCAGGGTTTTCATTGGGGGCTGGCCTGTCCAGATGTACTGCGCATCTCCTCCTCTCCCTCTGAGGGAGGCCACGCCCCGGCTGACCAGGGACCTAATGGTTATGCAAACAACTAGCTAGAAGCTAGGAGGAAACACTCCCCCAAACCTGGGGTCTGCTTCCAAGTAGAAGGAACTCAGCTGGTGCACTTTATCCCCAGAAATACTCACCTCAAGAAGGCAACTTGTCAATTGCTAAATCTGGGAGAATAAATAGCCTGTGACTTGAGCTATCCTTCCAACTCTCAGAGTCGGCTGATTCCCCAGGAAGGATGCTCCTCCAGGAAAGCTATTCCTCCCAGGAAGGCTGCTCCTCCAGGGAAGGCTGCTCCCTCAGGGAAGGCTTCTCCCCTGGGAAGGCTGCTCCCCCAAAGAAGGCTGCTCCCCCAGAGAAGGCTGCTCCTCCAGGAAGGCTCCTCCCCCAGAGTAGGGTGCTCCCCCAGAGAAGGCTGCTCTCCCAGGGAAGGCTCCTCCCCCACACAGGCTGCTCCCACTAAGGCTCTGCTACACATGAGGCTGGCCTGCCCTGGCCCAGGTTTGGCTCAGACGGGGAAGATAAGCCTGAATAATCCCGGGATTCGGTCAGCCAGTTTATTTGGTTCTTACACTAAGATAGGATTTCAAGCCACTCATTTAGAAGAAATAAAAGGTATTCTTTGGTCTCCATCTGCCACTATTTTGTTTTATTTCTCAATTTGTTCAAAACCCAGGTAGGGATGATGAGTTCTCTCAGAAATCCAAACAATGAGAAAAGAATGACACCTGAGGGCCTAAAAGAAAAAAGGTCTGTATTTTGAAAGAGCCCAAAAAGATTGACAGGCGTGGCCTTGGTATTCTGGATTTAGGCCAGGCACAGAGAAGATCAGCCTTCATACAGGCTCCCACCCAGCCAAGTAGATGGGGCTCAGCGGGCAGAGCCCAGCAAGGCCGGGGCACAGCACAGTCAGCTGAGCAATCCAGGCTGCAGATGATCCTGCTCAGCAGCCAGGAAGCCTCTGAAGGACATGCCAAGGACATTCCAGAGCCAGAGGCTGAGGGAGAAAGTGCGAGGGGAAAAGAACATTCTGCGGCCCAAGCAATAGCCTCTCTAGAGCGGCACTTGGCACTCAGGCCCTCCTGGGTATTACAGGCTTTTAATTAATACTGGCCCTGATATCAGCTCCCCTGCACTGAACCCAGCATATATGGGGTTAAAACTAAAAGCACTCATCCCCTTTCCCTGCTTCTTCAGTTACACTCATATGCAAATATCTGTTTCTTCAACCTTTGACTCCCTGAACTTTACAACTGAACAGAAGTTACAAATTGGTCAAGCCCAGGCAGCCTCACACTGGGCTCACACTAAAGTAGTGGCTCATCATGGGTTCTTGAAGTTTATTACAGGGAAACTGATGTCCAGAGAATATCA